CAATTTCTAAGCACAAGTGGATACACAATTAAAGACAAGATTATTCTCAAATACTAATCAGCTCATGGCTTATAGTTCAACACTCCCCTTTAAGATTTGAGCTGATTTGACTCCAAGCAAACCTCTGAGATAGCTGAATCGATCCTTAGCCAAAGGTTTTGTGAAGATATCGGCTAATTGCTCTTTTGTAGGACAGTAAACTAGATCAATGATTCCTTCTTGCAGAGCATCTTTGATAAAATGGTATCTTCGATCAATATGTTTAGTCTTCTGAAGAAACACCGGATTCTTTGTGATAGCAATTGCAGATGTGTTGTCACACTGCAATGGAGTGGCTTCAGTTTGAAGTTCCCCAAAATCTTCCAGTACAAACCTAAGCCAGATTGCTTGTGCAGTCGCCTCTGAAGCACTAATATATGCTGCCTCAGCAGTTGAAAGTGCTACACATGTTTGTTTAACTGATGTCCAAGAGAAAATCCCACTGCCAAAAGAAAAGGCATATCCTGAAGTGCTCTTACTATCATCCACTGATCCTCCCCAGTCACTATCACAGAAACTAATCACCATAGAGTTTGTACCTTTCGTATACTCCAAACCATAGTCTAATGTTCCTTTAATATATCTGAGAACCCTTTTGGCAGTTCCATAGTGTTTGTTTGTGGGAGAATGCATGAACATGGAAAGTAGACTTGCTGCATACATTATGTCTGGTCTTGTAGCTGTAAGATACAGTAAACTCCCCACAATCTTTCTATACTGCTCTTCATTTGCTGGACCACTTCCATCATCCTTACTAAGTTTTTCAGCTGAAATCAGTGGTGTAGACACAGACTTGCATTCATTCAACCCAAATTTATTCAACAAGGAAGAGTCATACTTCTTTTGGTGAATAAATATGCTGAAATTAGTTTGAATGACTCCCATTCCTAGAAAATGGTGAAGTAGACCCAAATCAGTCATCTCATATTTCATCATGTCCTCTTTGAATTCTTCCAACATTTCTTTGCTACTACCTATGTAGACAATATCATCTACATAGATAGACACAATTATGATATCCTTTTCTCCCCTTGACTTGATGTACAATGTTGGTTCACTGAGACTCTTTTGAAAACCACATTGGGAGAAGTATGCATCAATTTCTCCATACCAGGCTTTAGGTGCCTGTTTCAGTCCATAAAGAGCTTTATGAAGCCTATACACTTTATCTTCCTTGCCTTGCACTGTGAATCCTTCTGGTTGGTCTACATATACTTCTTCCTGCAGTACTCCATTTAGGAAGGTAGATTTAACATCAAGTTGATACAACCTCCAGCTCTTTTGAGCAGCTAATGCAATGAAGGTTCTGATAGTGTCCAGTCTAGCCACTGGAGCATAGGTTTCGTTATAGTCGAAACCAGGTTTCTGAGCATAACCTTTGGCAACCAACCTTGCCTTATTCTTCAAGACTGTGCCATCCAGATTCAATTTGGTTTTATAGACCCATTTAACCCCAATAACAGGCTGCATTGTTGGTCTATCTACTAATTCCCATGTACCATTCTTTTCAATTATGGTCAACTCATCCTACATTGCTCTTAACCATGATTCATCTTGAGCTACTTCTGCATATCTTTCAGGCTCCATAACACACAGATTGCATTGAGCAAAAATATCATCAAGATTTCTCCATTTCAGAGATGTGTGGTCATAAGCCTCTGAAAGCTTTGCGGATTTAGGAGTGCAACTTTCTTGTTCTTATGTATGAGAAGGAGAACTAGGGCTGAGAGAACTTCCTTCAATCACACTCATCTCATATGAATTCACACCAACTACATTTTCAGGTTGATCCTGAATGTAGGTTGCAGCAGCTGAACCTTGTGAATTTTCTTTCCAATTCCAGGTCATAGATTCATCAAAGACTACATCTCTTGACAAGATTAACTTGTTAGTACATGGATTAAATATTCTGTATCCCTTCTCACATGTAGCATAACCCACAAATACACCTTTAACACTCTTAGCATCTAGCTTCTGTCTTGTCTCAGTAGGTACATGTACATAGCACAGGGAACCAAAAATCTTGAGATATGCTATGCCTGGTTTTCTGCCACTATAAGCTTCAAAAGGAGTTGTATTTCCAAGTGCCTTTGTAGGACACCTATTTAGAATATATACAGCTGTGTGTATAGCTTCAGCCCAAAGAACATATGGCATACCTCTATCATGAAGCATAGTTTTTGCCATTTTAACCACAGTTCGATTTTTCCTTTCCACCACTCCATTCTGTTGAGGAGTATAAGCCATGGTGAGTTACCTTTGAATGCCTTCAATTTCACAGAACTTAGTAAACTCAGAAGATAAGAATTCTCCACCTCTGTCACTCCTTAGACTTTTAACTTTGAAACCACTCTGCAGCTCCACCATTGACTTGAACCTTTTGAAATAATTGAATGCATCAGATTTGTATCTTAGAAAATACACCCAAATCATTCTTGTACAATCATCGATGAGTAACATGAAATATTTGTTTCCAGCCAAGGATGCATTCTGCATAGGACCACACAAATCAACATGAATAAGTTCCAGAGGACAATTTGCTCTCCAGGATTGTTTCTTTGGAAACCAGTCTCTATGTTGCTTTCCAAATTGACATCCTTGACATACATCTTTGATTTCTTCTAGGTATGGAAGACCATGCACCATATTTTTCTCACTGAGTTGCTGCAACCCCCTGAAGTTCAAATGACCTAGTCTTCTGTGCCAAGTCCGAGTAGAGTGATCTATGCTCGCTTTCAAAACCAATTGATTGTCGTGCAACAGAGAAAGATGATAGCAACGATTTTCTTTCTTCTTGACCTTGATGACAAGATTGTCAAGTGAAGGTCCATCAAATACACTACACAAACCTCCTCCAAACACTAGATAATATCCATGCTCATCCATTTGACCTACACTCAACAAATTTTCCTTCAATCCTGGCAAATGCATGACCTCTCTAATGTACTTCTTCCCTTTATTAGTATTAATTTCCAATGAGCCCATTCCAGCAACATTTACTAACACCCCAGTAGGCATTTGTACCTTTCCAGCAACATTTGTTCTTATATCAACAAGGAGATCAGCATTCCCTGTCATGTGGTTACTACAACCACTGTTAATGTACCAATTTCCATTGACATTTTTCTTTGAAATTGCACTATTAGCATAGAACAGATTCCCTGTCACTTCCACCTGATTTGTAGAATTTGCCTTTTGCACAATCTTCCCTATAGTGCATTCTCTAGCCCAATGACCAAACTTATCACAGTTATAACATTTGGGCTTCCCTTTATATCTACATTCACCAAAATGGAACTTAGAGCACACTCTACACTGTGGTTTGGTACTCTCTTGACCCATTGACTGTGTCTAGTATGAATTGGATGCAGGGCTATTGAGAGGTCTCTGTTGAAATCAAGACTTTGGATCCCATTTCTTTCCCTTGGGATTCCAATTCTTCTGAAATTTTGATGAACCAGATTGAGCTCCACTCCTATTCTGCCCTTGTGGACTCACTGAGAATGATGCAAATGCCTTCTCAGTGGTATCAACATTATGTAGATCAAACCGTTGTTCTTGACTCTTCAAGATTGCAACAACTTCCTTCAATTCTACAGTCTCTAGACACTTTGTATTTTCTATAACCAAACAGATCGAATCATAAGGTTTACTTAGGCTTATTAGAACCTTCTGCACAAGTCTCTCATTAGAAAGAGATTCACCAAATGTTCTCATCTGATTAATTAAGTCATTCAGCCTTGTGAGATAACTAGATAAGGATTCATCATCTCGCATTCTAGCATACTCAAATTCTCTTATAAGATTTTGAAGTTTTATAGATTTAACCTGATCACCACCATGGTATTCACCTACAGTAGATCCCATGCCATCTTGGCTGAGTCAGCGTTTGCAATCCGAGGAAAGATCTGATCAGATATTGCGTTTTGTATAATTCCCAGAGCCTTTGCATCTCTCATTAGCACTGCCATCATTTCTTCATCACGATCGTCTTCCGATGACCCTTCAACTTCCTTCTTCTTCTTCTTTGAATCGGGTGTTGGCAATCCCTTTTCTACCAGATTCCATAACCCAATGGATTTGAAGATTGTTACCATTTTAATTCTCCAGAACTCGTAGTTCTCACCGGAGAAGATTGAAGTTCTCACCTCCGAGCCTCCAGATCCAGACATCTTGCAAGCCTTTCGTGAGCTTCGATTGAGCTCAGTGACCTCACAGATTTACGCCTAGATTTTAAATGGCGCAACCTGGCTCTGAGGCCATGTTAGTGTTTTTGACAATGGAAGAAGGAGGAATGCACTAAGAATGTAAATGGCTGCTATTCTCTCTGCAAGTCGCAGAGGAACCTTTTTGTAAAATTATATATATGTTTCTCTCTCTTTTCACACACACGTGAAAAGGAATAATTCAGTTAACAAAGCTTGGCTGGATCTTTCCTTCTAGTTAAAATGATCACAACCACTCATCTAGCAATAGCTAGGATCATCACACATGGCACTCATGGCCTTACATATTTTGATCTTGCACATCTGCACTGCGGTCTCATCAACTAGGAATGGGGATGATGAATTACCGGCCTTCTGTGTTTTACCAATCCTCATCATAAACCATCAGAAAATTAATCGCAAGACGCGTTCATTTGATGATATGATAAGGGTAGGTGGTGCTATCCCTTAATTATTCAATTTCTCTGTTTGTTTCCAGCCTGTCAAAGGTGGGGTTGAGAGTCTGAACATTTGGAAGGAGAGATTTATTTGGCGGTTATACAAAATTTCATATGCTGAGAACTACTTGAGTAACAACCTTAGAAACTTTGTTAGACAATTTTACTTGTGAATTGGAAATGTACTTTTCTTTAGGTCATTATAAATTATTCCTCCTCAACGAACACAAAACAATACCACTGACATGACACTATTGCCCTTTCTGAATGTCTCAACGGTTAACCCGCTACTTGCCATCTACTTCTTGTTTGGAATTCGGCAATTTTTGCGTATCTCTCCCTGGTTTCCTATCAAAACCTGGTAAGCTCCCATTTGGTTCATTGACATAGCAAATGACCTTCGAAAGTCTTCCAAACCGGCAGCAAACTCTTCAGTGATTTCCCTAGTACAATAGTGATCAATTCCAAGCATGGCCTTGTAGAGAGAATTCTGGAGTAGTACGTTTCTGTGAATGTGTAATTGGCACCAAATTGCGGGTTCAGACACACCAGTGGGTTGGTCTGTCCCTTTTTTGTTCTCAGCAGGCAACTCTTTCTCAAATCGTATAAGAGTGAAGGGTCCATGCTTGGGTCTGGCTTTTTTGTGCCATTGAAATTGTACAGCTGATCATGAAATGTAGCGACAATGTATTCTGCCCATTGAATGTGCACCTGAAACCAATTGAAATGCATTTTAATTCGAAACCCTCTACGAGAAACCGATAATCCCACATCAAAATTACACTTACAATAATCTATTTAGTGGTGTTTTACCTTAATTGGTATTTCAATTTACTATTATTAGGGAATTCTGAACCCCTTTAGGGATCGTTTGATAAACATGTCGTTTTTAGTGAAAATAAAAAACTAAACACGAAATTGGTATCAATCAAAACGGCCTCTTTAGTTTTTTTATTGTGGATGATGTTACCTAGAAGAGTTGTCATATTGAGTACATTCAAGCCTCTAGAATAAGTATTTTAGGGAAGCCTCCCATATGATGGGGGGTGAGGGAAGATCCACTCATGACTTGCTTGTTGTGGCTTAGAGAGAGAGAGAGAGAGAGAGAGAGAGAGAGAGATATATATATGTGTTTGTACGGTTGTGTAGAGGATGTGTTATTCTCCCTATGCAGTGTTTGTACGGTTGTGTAGAGGATGTGTGTTATTCTCCGTATACAGTGCCTTTATTTATTGTAATAAGGGAGGGAATATAGAGGATGTGTTATTCTCCCTATGCAGTGCCTTTATTTATTGTAATAAGGGAGGGAATAATCATTCTCCTCCAAGTAATACAAGTCCTAATAGGGAAGAATAACTAGTATCAAATCTAATCTATAATTTATAGAATCACACTTTAATACAATGTTTTATAACACTGCTCCTTGAGTGTGTAAATACTCAAGTAGATTCGGCATCATGTAGAGTTGAGGAAGTTGGCTTGTCGACACTGATTCTGTGAACACGATAGTCTCAAAGTAAAGTAGGAACTTGCATATGAAACCAAGTCTCACAAAAAAACCCAATGGTTATGGTAAAACCCTAGTAGGGACAAAACCATAGTTTAAGGAAAATGCATGAGTAAATGCAAAGTCAAATGAAACGTCTACAGGACGTCATCAAGGATATGATCAACCCAAGGTGAGTGCCTTGTCAAAACCTCGTTAGGTAGCAAAAACCCAAAGGACAAAATGCTCTTAATCTTAGGGAAAAAGAGTACGTTAAGATCAAGCAAGTATACTTCAAGATACTCCCCCTAAGTTTGACATAATTCCAAAGAGAACTAACAATGTTACAACTTAGAAAGTTTACGTATACCTATTACTTGAACAAACTTCTGAAACGTTGTCTTGTGAATGAATTTGCGTGACTTCCATCTTCTATTGCTCTTGTTGTTGATGTGAGAAGAAGAACTTCGACGCAATGTTCTTGGTGTTGTCTCCTTTGATGTAACCCTTCTTGAGCTATTTGATGCATGCTATGTTATCTTCATAGATCGTCGTCGGGACATCAACAATGGGGTAAAGATCGCAGGAGCTTCGAATATATGGCCCACAATTGCTCTTAACTAGAAGCATTCCCGAGTAGCTTCATGTAAGGTGAGTATTTCAGCATGGTTAGACGAAGTGGCAACTAAGGTTTGTTTAGTTGACCTCCAAGATATTGTGATGCCTCCAACGGTAAAGACGAAACCCATTTAAGAGCACGCCTTGTGTAGATCAGATAAGTATCCTCTTTCAGCATAACCAACAAAGTGGGAATCGACTCGAGATAAGGGGTGCGACACCACTCGAGGATCCATAGAGATAGAACAAGTCTAGATCTGTAGTACCCTTAAGGTAACGAAAGATGTCATTAACACCAGTCCAATGTCTATGTGTTGGTACATTACTGTATCTTGCCAAAAGATTAACGTCGAAGGAGATGTCGGGTCTAGTGCATTGGGCTAAGTATAGTAAAGCACCTATCGCACTTAGATAAGGAACTTCAAGCTCCAAAATCTCTTCATCATCCTCCCTCGGACGGAAGGGATCTCATTTAGCATCTAGCGATTGTACGACCATAGGAATACTCGAAGGTTTCACTTTATCCTCATTAAAGTGGCACAACATCTTCTAGGTGTAGTTCGTTTGATGTACTAAGATTCCATCTGAACGGTGTTCTATCTTGAGACCAAGACAATATTGAGTCTTTCCTAGATCTTTTATCTCAAATTCTGCCTCTAGTGTGCGATAGTTTACTCGAGCTTTTCAAGAGTTCCAATGAGCTTCATTTCGTCCACATAAACTGCAACAATCACAAAACTGGAATGTGACTTCTTAGGCCTTGTTTGGTATGCCGTATATAGAACCGAATATGATTATTAATACATAACTGGGTGTTTAGCACTCTCTCGTTTTAAAATGAACTCGACTAATTTAATCTGATCTTTTTATTTTATATAGCATACATTCTCTTAATAAACCTGTCCAAAAGGAGAGTATAATTAGTCGGGTCCCTTCTCTCTTGCGCGAACTGGGCTTTCTCTCTCGCTTCCCTTATTTTCACCTTCTCTCGCCGGCTACATTCTCCCCATCTCCTCTGGCTAGCTATGTTCTTGCCTTCTCCCCTGGTCGGCTCTGTGTTCCCCGTCTCCTTTTGTCGGCTCTGTCCTCCTTGGGGTCCTGTTCTCCTCGACTCTGCTCTCCATGTTGCCATCGTTTTGGTTTAATTTAGATGCCCATAGAGAGACCACTCGCACCACCACTGTATAAATTCGAAAAGACATCTAGGTTTTAGAACCTCGAATTGCATTGATGATAGGATTTGAAAATTTGGAAAGATTTCATCTGGATTTTACGATTTGCCTGTTTTCCCTTTTTTATTGTTTGCTTATTATAATTTAATTCCTTAGTTTCTGGGTATTTTTTAGATTAGTTTCAAATGTATAGAGGGGGAAGATCTGCTTGAGGGTGCATTTCAAGCCTCTTTGGGCTAACAACTATGAGGAGATGGGGGAGTGAGGATGTTGGGGGTGGTGCGGCGGAGAGATCTGGGGAAGACTGAAGAGGTGATTTCAATTTTTTTAATTATATTTTTAGTTTGATTGAAATGAAGGAAATATTTTTTTTTTTTAATTTGATTCATTTGGTGGTTGTGAATTTTATATTGTGAAAAAAAAAATTCAGTTCTTTTTTCAATAATCATCAATTTTTATCTTAAAAGTAATAATACTTTGAATTCCTCTTATCCGGTGTAATACCAAACACAATATAAATAATATGGTCGTTAGTCCGATACTGCACCAAACACTAGATTAATTTAGTTAGTACTATTCGATGACTATTTATCTTATTCGATTAAAATAGTCAATATAGTCTGAGCTACCAAACAAAGCCTTAATGAACACGCAAGGGCATAGTTCGTTGTTCACATATCCTTGACTAGTCAAATACTCACTCAGACGGTTATACCACATTTTTCCAGAGTGCTTCAAACCATAAAGTGAACTTCTCATTCGAATTGAGAGCGTGTTCCGAGGTATGGAACTATTTGATCCGGTCAATGTAAGTCCTTCGGGAACTTTCATATAAATTTCCGTATCAGGATCCCCATAGAGATACACAATTACTATGTCTATCACCTGCATACTCAGTTTTTCGAGAACTACCAAACTGATAAGGTAGCGAAAAGTAATCACATCCATAACGGGTGAATAAATTTCATCATAGTTAATCCCGGGGCATTGTGAGAAGGTTTGTGCAACAAGATGAGCTTTGTAATGCACAATTTTGTTCTCCTCATTACGTTTCCGAACGAAAAGACATTTATAGCCAACGGGCTTCACATTTGGAAGAGTATGAGCTACAGGTCCAAACACCTTACGTTTTGCAAGCGAATCGAGTTCGACTTGGATTGCTTTTTTCCAGCTTGATCAATCAATTCTACATCGACATTTATCAACGGAATGGGGTTCAATGTCATTACTCAACTTGATCTCAATAGCTATTGCATATGCTAATGCATCGTCGATGATCACTTCATTTCTACAGCTAACATCATCTAAGCTAGCATAATGGACCAAAATCTCTCAATTCTCGGGATGAGGATTCGTCTCTTCGAGGACACTTCCGTAATCTAGAATTTCCTCATGAGTTGGATAGAGTGAGTACGCGATAGTCAGATTCACAGTAGGCTCAACAACTTGTGCCGTTGGTTTCCTCTTGCGGGTCATTTGAACCAAGAGGTTTACCATGCTTATGTGTAGGGGTAGAGGATTGGCTAGCCACGAATGTACGTTGATCAGCCAAGGTGGCATCTAGGACCTCCATAAGGGAAGTTCGTCATACATTTAGTACATCCGTATTTGCAGGTACATTTGCAGCTGGACTATGTGATGTTGTCACTCGTGCTAGATCTGGGAAAGCATCTGGCATGCTTTGAGCTGCCCTCTGAAGATCTAATATGTGCTACACTTCCGTTTTAGACTCAGCGGTGTGAGAATCTAAATGAGGCAAAATGGGAGTCATCCACAATAATTCGCGTCGTTCTTCAAGAACGATAACGTTCTTATCTCCCCCTAACGACAGAAAGATTATCTCATAGAAGTGAGAATCTGCTAAATGAATGATAAATAGATTATTTATCAAAGATTCTAAGTATTGAATAATTGAAGGAGAATCATATCTGACATAGATTCTCATCCTTCTCTAAGGCCCAATTTTCGTACGTAAGGGTGGCAAAATCAGCACATAGGCCTTACAACAAAAAATGCGTAGATATGATATTTCACGTTCGTATCTAGTAACCAACTGAAGGGTGCTATATGGTTGTGTCGCAACAAGCCTTAGGCGGACCAACATGGCTGTGTGCAATATTGCAAGGCCCCAAGCAGCGATCGGGAGCTTGGTACGTATGACCAATGATAGAGTAATCATTTGTATGTGCTTAATGAATGCCTCTACCAAGCCGTTCTGGGTGTGAACATGGGGGTACATGATGTTTAACTTCAACCCCAGCAGACATGCAATAATCATCAAAAGTTTTAGATTTGAATTCTCCAGCATTATCCAATCGAATATATTTGATCGGGTAATCAAGGCAGTGATCCCTGAGCTTGTTGACTTGAGCCACTAGTGTGGAGATGACAACATTTTGTGTACAACAAGCACACGTGTGACCAACGTGTGGAAG